TACTGAAAAGTACAAACACGTCATAAGGGCGTTAAAAGCAGCCATTTCTCTCTTTCTCTCTCTCTCTCTCTTTCTCGTACACAAAAAACAAGTGCAAGCGAAGAATCGGTAATCGCTCGCCGCGACCGATCACGAGGCCTGCTGTGTTCAACCTCTTTCACTCTCTCACTCTCTTACTCTCTTTCTTTCGCGAATACAATGAGTTCTCGGATTACCGAGAGAGAGAGAGAGAGAGAGAGAAACAAGTCGCGGCGTCAAGCGAATCAAGAATATCGACGCAAGAAAGAGAGAGAGAGAGAGAAAGAGAGCCCGAGCTAAAACTAACATAATACTCGTAATCGACTTTGCCTTCCTCTTTGCATACAATACGGAGGGCATACGTTGCAGTTTATTAACCTCTTATCGTCAGTCGCCACTGAAAGCGAGTATAGCGCAGAGAGAGAGAATTGCGCGGAGTCGCAGTCTGTACGCGATACCGCGTGCAGCAAAGGTGCATACGCACTCGATCGTAACTACATTATATTACATTATCGTCGCAGCGCGCGTATTATGATTACATGGACCCATGCTGTATCGAGCTAATACGTTGGACTCTCGTCGCCCGAGTGAAACGTCACCGAGAGATTATATACGCGTGCTGGTATATACGCGCCGAGAGTCGCTTTACTCAGCTCGCAGCGGCATAGAAGCTGGCGAATAATTGCGCGAAATCAGCGATCGTCTATCGCTTTCACCCTTCGACGACGACGACGACGACGACGACGACTTTCAGCTTTCGAGCTTAGCGCAGCAGTAGCAGTATAGCCACGGAGCAAAAAGCCCGAGACCTAGACGCACGTGCGAGCCGGAATCGCGATCGTGTCACTTTGCCTTCGAGGCTGCTGCTGCTGCTATACGTATTTATTCGACTCGATCCCCCTTCGCGCTAATTTGCACGCGCGTCTCTCTTCTCCGCATGCCGATAAGAGCCGAACCAGCAGCTTCTCTCTCTCCCTCTCGTTCACTCGCTTATCTTTATCCGATTGCTTATAAAGCAGCAGCAGCAGCATCGGCTCGTGTTCATCTCTCTCCTCTCTCTCTTACTTGAGCTTTTGACGCGACAAGAAAGACTCGAGTAGTGGTAGTATTAGTAGTAGTAGCAGCGATACGAAGCTACAGACTGGGCGTTTCTTATACGTTCGATTCTGATATAGCGTGTCACTTTCGACTCGACTGCTGTTACATTGCATTATATGCCTAATGTCATGTACGTGTATATATACGAGAGACAGATCGCGTCGAGCTTCTCTTTGCTCGCGCGCACTGCTCGAGAATCGATCCCCGATCGACACATGTTACAAAATGCTTCGCGATCGTGTTTTACTTATATACATATACTTTTTTCTTGTCAGCTCGTCGCTTATATGTACAGCGGGGCGACGGCGCGACGACATCGATTTACGACCGTTCGCAGCTTGTTCCGCTGTGTTTTTTTTTCCTTTAACTTACTTCTTCTTCTTTTTCGTCTCCTTTCGAGACCTTATTTACGCGCGTCGCTCGGGCGAGGTGGTAACTTGCCTAATTACGTATATTACTTACGTACCTGGAAAAGTCAAATAAAGAACGTCTAAGAGAGAGAGAGAGAGAGACGATCGCGGCGATAAATTAACCTTCGGCCGGCCGAGGTTTCGGTTCTCTCACGTATGCTATACGCGACGATCCTAAGGTTTCTTTACTTCCCAATTTTTTTTTCTTACCATTTACTCTGCGAAAGCTACACGCACTTGATCTTTTTTTTGCTGCTTCTGCTTCTTTTCGTTAACTTTCTATCGAAAAGTGACGATTTTTCGTTCTTTATCGATCCTTACACCGATCGAAATTGTTATTCGCTTGCTACGATTCGTGAGAATGTCTCAACTCTCTCGGCCGCGATCTTTATGGTCTCAATTGCACAACGATAAGCTTCTCTCTCATTTCGAATTCCATATATATACACGTCTGCTGCGCGTTGACTGCTGCTGCTGTTGTTGTTGATATATTTTTTTATTCTCTTGCAGCAGGAGCAGCGGCTTCGATCGGTGTAGAATGCAGAAAAAGGAACTTATTCTATTTATAGGCATATATATGCGAATTAAAAAAAAAAAAAGAAAGAAGCGAGACTGAAAAAACGGGCGTCACGATGAAAGAAATTGTGTACACTGGCCGTCATTATGTTTATTTGCCATTATTCGAGGAACTTTAACGCGCAAAAGCAAACACCGCTTACAGCCACCATAAACCTACCTACAATCACTTAGCTCTCGCTCTCTCTCTCTCTCTCTCTCTCTCTCCCTCTTTTTACTTTATTTTTTTTTTACTTTTGTTCTGCCTTTCCCTGCCTCGTTTGTTCACCTCGATCCTTTCGGGCGCTTTTCTCCCGACGCCGCTTTTTTTTCTCGTATTATTGCATTAGTTCCGATTTACGAATCAGGCAGATAGCGACTAATATTTTTATAAGCCATGTATCCGAGACTTCCTTTCGAGCCCACCTGAATTCCTTTTCACAGCCTCTATATATTCTTGGCGCTGTACTCTATAGCATATAACTAATTGCTGTGTTCTATAACAAAGCACGGCAACGATAAAGTTCAACTTTATCATCAATTATTCTGCACTTTTCTCGCAGTTCTCGTGCATAGTTAAATTTCTGTATGCGCCCGAGTGCGCGGGAGAGAGAACTTTTATATTGCAGCCTTTAAAAAGAGGAATATCGATCGTCACGCCCCCCTGTGGCAGGGCTCGAGGTTTTATTGTGTCGACCATTAAATGGCCAATAAATTTCCGACACCGGTCAAAAGTCGTGAAATATCTCGCTGGTTTCTTTTTTTTTTTTTTTTGCAACCCTGGCCCAGGTCAACTGTTTTGCCATGCAATAAGTTGCAGCTTGCCTATACACAATACGGCATCGAAGGAAATATAATTGGCGATCTCGGTTGCCAGCAGGTGCTGCACAAGTTTCAGATATAACTCGACGACTCGTCGTCGCGAATATATAGAGCGACGCGACGATAATAGACGCACGCGCGAGATATCGTCGCTGCGCTGCCGTGGCGATGACTTATTTTTCGAATAAAAGCATAACTGTCGCGTACTCTCTGGCGGCGGCGAGCAGTCGCCGAGCGAGAGTTAATACAAGAGACTCGAATAAAAGGGATCTCTCTGGCGCGATGCAAAGTTGTATAATCCTGCCACTACTACCGTGATGTAACGTACTCACAAAAGATTGACGCGCGCGAGCGAACGCCTACATTATACATGCAAAATATCACTTTGTGTCTGTGTGTGTGTGTACATATGAATAATAGCGTGTATATCACAAGGCTTGGTGTCGCGCGCCGGCGAATATTTTTTTTTCTTTTCCGTCTTTGCGACGTGTGTTCTCCGACTTCTTTCTCTCTCTCTCTCTCTCTCTCTCGTAAGAAGCGCAGATCAAGGAGCATAATACCGATCTGCTGCTGCTGCTGTCCAGAAGAGCTAGGCTAAGTCAAGACCAGTTAGACGTGCACGCCGAGCGCACGAACGAAGGCAGAGCGGCTAATTTATGGCGAAATCTGATTCACGCACCGGCAGCATTTACGCTTATTAACTGCGTATATACACACTTCTACCTGCCATATTACGAGCTGGGCCTAGGCGAATATTATTATATATATACAAGCGTGAATCAATCATGTCGAGACTGCGAACGACGTGCGATACACGCCGATCCCCCGAAATTCGACGTATAACACGACTCCGAGACGCACGAGCTGTATATATACAGCATATAATGCGACATGACAAGCGCGCACCGCTCGCGCGGTTATATAGGTATAAAAATGGGGAGTGCACGCGTCGAACGGAGATCCCGATGTGTGCGTCTCATTATAATAAGGCGGTAGCCGAAATTATATTATCGCCGCGCGGTATCGTGATCGATGGAGCGGGCGCTTTTTTTTTAATATAATTTTGCGCGATAAAGGCGCTCGCCGCGAACGAATTTCCGAACGCGTCGATGATATTGTCGAGCCGGGTTCGGGCCGATCGACTCGAAACGCTCGTTGACAGCTGACCGATATCGTATTCGTGTGTGCGTAAGGTTTCCGAGAGGTCCTGTCGAATCGCCGAAGCGATTCAATTATATATTTTTCGGCCCGCACACTTTCGCGAGAATCTGTAGAAATGCAGGCACGTAGTAGTGTATAGCCACACGCGGCAACTGTCGTATATATAGCTGTGCACGAGCGAAAATTACGACGACGAATTTTTGTCGGATGAATTATATCGAACGTTGAGTTTATTTGTCGATGCATTACGCGAGCTGTAGCGAAGGTATCGAGAGAACACAAGAGAATCAAAGGTGAGAATGAGAGCTGTATACATATATCCGATATACAATGCCGTAATTTATGCGCGATCGTCAAAACCATTCGGCAGGTCTGATCTCGTGCGTGCGTGCGTGCACTGAAAGCGGTTGTCGTGCGTGTGGGTGAGGCGCGTCAAAGCGCCACGCTAATACACGAGCACACACGACGCGTAGATATATATGTACGAGAATCGATTCGCTTTAGTGAGTCAAGAGAACGTCACCTGTTGATTCGTTGCATCGATTTGTTGTTCGTTTTCTTTTTGTCGGTATAATATGCTTCACAGAGAGGCAACACGGCGAACTCGGAGAGAAAAAATAAAAACGGCGAAAGATTAAAACAAGTTTCACAGTCGACGAAGAAGTAAATTTTTTAAGCGAAGAAAACATAGCTGAAATCGCGGCTCGTCGCGAACGCACGACGAAAGCTCGGCGTGCGACTCGTCCGACGGCCCAAAACTTTGGTCCGCCGGTAAATATATTCGCTCGAGAGCTGCTTTCCGGCGTGTAGATCGCATAAACTGCACCGCCCGAACCTGCGCAGCCGGCAAGGATCTTTTTGTCAAAAGTGTCATCTCGAGCATGAAATAAAGAAGCTCGAAACAGAACGAAAAAAGGAAAGGGTGCGAAAGCTTACCTGAGTCATGAGCCTGTCGGCGCCCGTGCCCTCCTCGTCCTTGAATATGATGTCGGCGTTGTAATTGGGCACGAGGTCGCGGAAGCGCTTGTCGTTGCGCGACACCCGGCCCTCGCTCAGGCCGCTCGCGGGCAGCGTGTTCTCCGAGACGTTGGGCACGTGCTGCTTGAAGACGAGGGGCGTGAGCTTGCGCAGTATCGGTCGGCGGCCGCCGCCCCTGCCCGGGCCGCAGCCCAGAGCCGGATGCCCGGCCAGGCCGAGCAGCAGCAGCCCGAGCACGAGCCGCGGCGTTATCGTCCTCGTTGCCGCTAGCGCTCGCATCCTGCGCATCGCGCTGTGCAGCTCAACTGTTCACTGTTGCTGCTGCTGCTGACGCAGATGTTAGCTGGAGCTGGAGCAGCGACGACGACGACGACGATGGCTAAGGCGTCGACTGTCCCCTCGGCCGGGCCAGCGCTCGGGCCCTGGCCGGGCAGCATCACTCCGAGATCGGACGCGCAGCCGACCTCTGCGCCCGATTATTGGACCCACGCGCGAGAGAGACAGAGAGAGGGACGAGAGAGGAGCGCGACGCAACTGCGACTTGCCGTGGATCGCGCGCGACCTGCTGGACACCACCGCTGCACTTTATTCCTCGGCACAAGTAGGAGGACAAAAGTAGCGACGCACGAGTACCAGTTGGAGAATTTGTCGATCGCTCGTCGCGGAGAATCCTCGATAGCCGCCTTTGCTGACTGTGTACGCTCGGAGGAGTTATCTCCTCGTCGTTGACACTCGCGGAAACAACACCCCCGGAGCAATTATACGCACGCACTTTTTGCTGCAATAGTAAAATAACGATGAAATAACAACGATGAGGCACTCGCGAAATCCAATCTCGCGGATCACTCGGCTTTTGATTTTAATCGATTCACTTTTGTTGTTTATTTTTGTTTATGCGGGTAGCTTGGCATACGTCGATGTTCGTCAATGGAAAAAAGAGAGAGAAAGAGAGAGCTCTACACGACGCTGTCGATTCGCCGGCCATACAGCCAAGACTGATCGCGACAAGGTCGTCGGCCACGCGAGACACTCGCCACTTCGGCCAACACGGCCGAGTCGAAAGAGAGAGAGAGAGAGAGAGAGCCAAGACCGGCGCCGCCGTTGCTCCATCTTCTCTCTTTCTCTCTTTGGCTCGTCCGCCAACGCTTTTCCGGAGGTGGGAAATGTTGTATCCAGCCCTACCACCGAGGCCGGTATGCCCTCCACTCCTCGCTCTCTCGCATCCCCCTTCTCGCTGACGAGAGTCCGAGGCTCGCCCATTGGCCGCGGGGCGGAACCCGCGCGCGTCTGTGCCTCCACCGTCTGTTCGAACGAACACGGCACAGCACAGGTGCAGGCCGAGTGGAAGGGATCATATAGAGTCGATTTACGCTTCTCTTCTCGTCCGACTCGATCTTTCTCTCTCTCTCTCTCTCTCTCGCTCTCGATCCGATTCTTTGCTTGTTCTCAGCTTATATTCTTTCTGCGCGCGCTATCTTTTTAGCCGTTTCGTTAATATGCTTTCCCTCTCTGTCTCTGTATCGCTGTTGCTGCCGATGCGCACGAGCGCACACGGGCTGTACGTCGCCACCGCCGCCGCCACCCGTTATCTCTTTCGGGCTTTTTCGAAACAATCGCACAGACGGGCTTCGGCAATTCGTTACTAAACGACCTATCGTCGTGGCCTGCGAGCTGTCTGCGCAAATCGTGGCGCGGCTATATATACGAAGCCAATATCACGCTTACAGCCGCACCTGTGCTCGAATGCGCGCCAGTATATATATATATATTGCTCGTCACGTCGTCGCTCGACTCGGACCCTTTTCTGCTGCTCAAACCGAATTTTTTCTGCTCGCTATTCTTCTCTACGATCTCTCGATCCTCTACGATTCTTTCGTGTGGAACAATGTGCACAGACTGATCGTGCTGCGCTAACATTTTGTACCGGCTCGAATATAGACTACTTGAAGTGATTTGTTACGTACGACATGATAATACTGAATGAATGAATTTTAGACAGATGAATCACAGAGGCCAGCTTTTAAGTGTGATACTTTCAATTTTTTTCGCAAAGGGACAAGGTGGTATTTTGAGCTATAGAGAATATTTTCAAATAGTCATATAAATCAAAACAATGGACATTTTTTTATTGATAGTAAAATATGTTCATACTACACCTGATTGACCAAAATAAACTCTTATTCCAAGCTTTGAAATTCTATTTACATTATTTTTTTCATAATTCAAAATATTGTGATTGGATTGACTGACCACGTGATTTTGACGCACATCAATATTGATCTATGGGGTCTTAAAATCTTCAAGAACACACCGTCGTCCACCTAAACGGAGCAGAATTTGGAAAAATTGTGAAAAACTTAATGTACAAGTCAAAATGCAAAAAATTTTAAAAAACTCATTATTTCACAAACGCTAAATGCCATATTTACGACCTCGGAAGAAAAACAAAAATATTTCCCTAATTCTGCTTCGTTCAAGGGGAAGAAAGTACTGTTTTTAAGATTTTGATACCCCATAAATCAGCATGGATGATGAACTTACTTCAAAATCACGCAACAAGTGACACATTATTTCAGAGCTTGAAATATCAGCTCGAAACACCATCTTGTTACCTTAAATGCGCCAACTAGAAAACCATGAGGTTGACTTATCGTTTTTTAAAATTTGATTTTGACACGAGATATGATCATTAATATAGTAAGGGAGTTTGTACTTAAAAGTAACATCTTTTTTCAGTACAATTTTTTTTCCTTAGAAATCAATGTTGAAATTGTTGCACTAGAAGATAGGAGCTATATTTATTTCGTAATTTAAAAAAATTATTAAGATTGAATTTCCGAATAAATATATATTGTTCTTTGAAAAATTATACAGTTAATAAAAGTTGAAGGTACAGCTGTAATATTCATTGTAAATGCAACATAATGCAGTCTTAGGTTTACGCCTATTCTTTGACGTCAATTCTCTCTCTGTTAACACTGTGCGAGTCCGCTAACTTGTCTCGCTGTCTGCATGTTTTATACCTACGGTATGCACTTTATATAAAATGTATATATGTAGTCTTTTGCGTGTCGAGAGAGAGACAGAGAAAGAGTATATGCAAAGAAAATACGAGTGACAGACGGATCGATACTCCGAGGTGAGGTGGCAGTTTTCTTCTGCCATAGTCTCTGGTAAGTTTGCGTCTAAAAATGAGCTTCGACTAGACACAGTGCAGCGGATCGCAAGTGCAGTCTCGAGGCGCTGGGGCACGCATGTACTGGAATGATAAGTGGCGGTCGTCGGCGGGCGTCGATCAGTCTCGATACTTGCGTCACTCGAGTCTTTCTGCGCGCGATCAAGAAACGTATATTAGCCCTTTCGTGTTCGCACACGAATGTGATTCGCGAAAGCGCATGCCAGATGCAATGCTCACACACGCGCGCGCACGCTCGCACTGCACATAAAGTACATGCACTATATAATAACATATTGCACTGTATGTTAAGGTGGAAAGAAAAAATACATTTTACGCTTTGTAATAGTAATTTATTGAAAGTATAAGATGAACACGAATCAGAAACACTGCGAGCTGGGGGCGAACAAATGATGTCTTCAGGTGGCGCATGAAGCCTGAAATTTAAAATTCGTAAAAACAATATCTTTATGCTTCAGAAAGAAATCTTTGCCAAATTTCTCGGCGCCGGATTAACCGATTGGGCTGAAAGTTTCAGGGCGTGTTTTAAATGTTAACAGAAGCTCATCTGTAAAATTTTAGCCCTCTAGGAGCTTTAAAAGCAAAAATATAGTCATAAGAGGGTTGAAAAACGACGTTACATTAATTTTTTTTTGTTCTTGAACCCCAATTATAGTTATATATCGGCGTCAAAAGTGTTTTTTCGTTCCGCCCTACTGTATATTATGGCCGATTCTCCGTGAAGTTAAACTGTCTAAAAAAATATTTTTCTGCAAATGTGAAAAAATTGTTGTATTCGATGTCAGATTGGTTCCAAAAAAAGTTTAGAAAAATTGGACCACTCGTCTTCACCAAGGTCGCTCATTTCACGTGCCCTGGGACTTTTCTGTTCCCGGCCTAGGGCAGTAATATACTCTTTCATCATCGAGTGCAGGAAATCGATTTTAAGATTTTCCCGCGCATTGTGATGAAAAAGACTTTACGTATACACATGCTGTAGATACGTACACGAGGATGAGTTTTTATTTCCCTGATGGTAACTTTGAGCATGAATATGATGTATAAACGCTAAAGATACAGCCGCAATTTCGATTGCACCATAGCCTTTACCTTTTGGTTTCGCTCGTTTTTGACCGATATTCTGGTCCGTGCATTAACTTCGCACGTATAACAAATTTGTATACAATGTGCTATGATTAGAAATATTACTATTTGAACACTCCTTGCGTAAAGCATGGTTTTCTAACCTTTCAGTGACACGAAAACCCACGTTTTACGAAATGTTAAAAAATATAGTATGAAATTAGTTCATGAGGAGGATGAATCACCCAGGAGTCATCTTCTTCGCGCACTTGTTATATAACTATTTTGTTCGTGTTTGTGGGGGGTCGTTCAGTCAAACAAAAAAAATGCCGTCGGCGTCGCTTCAGTAAAAATTAGAAAGTGTAAATCCAACGAAGTTGTCTATGCCAAGCCATGCGCTACTGTTATTACTCCTAGCGTACGTTATACGCCCACGAGGATCTCCCACTACGCTGGATTTAAGATTTTCAAAGGTTAATGTTTTAACCGCGTGCGTACTCTCTCAATATAAAACGTAACGTACGTAATAGTCAGTGCATGTTACGACGCTGCAACGTAAGCAACGAAGAGAGATTACATCGACTGCAGCAAGTGACTCTCGAGTAGTGAATAAATAAACTTTGAATAATTACAAGCCAAACTATATTGCCTTGCAAGTGCGTGAAAATATGGCTAAAGACGAATTCAATCAACTATTAATCGATTTTTCGAATTTCGATTGCTTTGATGAAAGCCATTCCCAGGTGGACCAAGAAAAATTTGAAATATTGAAAAATCTGCGAAGATGTACCAATTGGGAGATAAGAGATCAGCAAATAATGTTTCTTTCGGTCTTTCGCCATTACACCATAGACTGGCATGTTGGACTTCCGGATCTCCGAGAGATTTTTTCACGAGCAGAAATTGATCGGATGCTCACGAAGGCCGTGCAATGGAATTTCATCGATTGTGTCAGGTTTGTGATTAGGACAGGATACAAAGACGAGCTCGACCTCGATAAAGACGGAAAGCCATTGACACG